TTGTTAGATTAATGTGTCTCCCACAAAGTAGCGTTAACTCAAAAGAGGCTCTGAAAATGTGATCAGCATATGTAGAAGGTTCGCATACCAGAGAGTATTTTTGTGTCAATAACAAAAACAGACACGCAGACATGGTTTGATTTCGCATGCTGTAAAAGTAGGGTAGGAAACACAGAAGACTGTCAAATTATAGTAATGGGTGTCGGGGAGAAAAAGCCGATAAGGACTTGCTTTTTTATCTTTGTCGTGAATCAATTCCTATCCTTTCAAAGAATTGCTCAGATAAAATGGTGTGTTCTCATAGATGTACATCTTACATTTTGCACACATGTTTTTTCTTATTCTGAACTTTTTAATTCTTCTCCTATTTTCGTAATACAGCATGAACACCCTTACCTCAAATTCCAAAATCCTCCAAAATCCAAAATTGTCCACATAGGTAGCTGAGATACACCTTTGCTTTTGATGTATAAAATTGCCTTCAGGCGGTGTGGATAAGGTGTATATGAAACATAAATGAAGTTTGTGTTTAGACCTTGGTCCCATCTCCAAGCTATCTCAAGTTGTATCTATATGCAAATACAAGTATTCCAAAACACTTCTGGTCCCACACATTTCAGATGAGGGCTACTCAACCTGAACTCTGCTATTTTGTGTTTTCACATTTAAATGATACAAAGGAGACTATTGTGCCTTCATAAATATATATCAGAAACATTATGGCTCTTGGAAATTGAGACAATAGTGTGACAGAGTATATAGCTTCACCAGTGTTATTGGGCTTCTCCATTTCATCAATGCTCAATGCAGCTTGATATTGTTGGGATATATACCCCACAACCTGTTAATGGCCAAGTGAACAGTGTGTTGCCTGAATGTACAAGGCTTCTGGGATGCATTGGGCAGCATAAAAAGGACAGTTGTCGTCCTCCTAGATCAGTGGTTCCCAACCTGTGGTCCATGGACCACCAGTGATCCACAAAAACGAAAATATGGTCCACGGCCTCACTGTTAATGCACCGTTGCAATGAGAGCGACTGGTCTCACGAAACCCTCTTATGGTGCTGAAGCTTATTAAATATGGTTTTCTTTGGGCAAACAGATAGCGACTACTGGATGGCATTTGTTCTGTATCAGAAACTAGAGCTGATGTGCTCGATCCAATGCAGTTTTCTGAATCAGCGCCCCAAATAACCAAATCAAGTCTAAAGTTCACCAAAAAGTGATTGATAACCCTTTTGGTTCTAATGTTGGAGAGTGATCCCTGGTCAAAGTGGTTCCTGGTCAAGTGGTCCCTGATCAAAGTGGTCCCTCATCAAGTGGATCTCTAGTCAAGCGGTCCCTGGTTAAAAAAAGGCTGGGAACCACTGCCCTAGATGTCCAGCATAATGCGATGTCTGAGAGCATGGCAGCTCTTCTTTTTTCTCTCAACTGTAGCTAGAGAGTTTTGGGTGCCCTCTTTGGAGCACCTCAGTGCCATCAAGTTATGGATGTGGAGGTATTGAAGGAAGCATCCACTACCTCATTATGAAATGCCTTTTGGGCATTTTATATAGAAGTGGTGAGTAACATCTTCAAAATCTATTACAATACATATAATTGATAATACTTTGGAATAGGACACCAGTACGATTCCAACCATTAATGTAAAACAGTGAAGTCCATCCTTCCCTTTGGTAGTTTTTTTTTTTTTACTACCAAAGCCTTTATGTGAGTACTGTGCATAGTATTCTCACATATATTTTGTCTAAAGGACATTCTAGGTTGTAGATTAGTTGAGAAAAAGTCTGTGTATGAATATTTGTGCATTTGTGTACGAGGCTCAGTACTCTGGCAATTTAATCTAACTGTTCGCCCATCACAAAACAATGATTTATGGCAAAGAGTAGCCAAGGAGAAATGTTTTCTTAAAAATCATTGAATCATCATTTTGCATTGAAGATTCAATGAAAAATGATGAAGAGTAATGGTTGCCAGCCTGGGCTGCTGCACAAACAGGACCATGTCTAACAGAACAAGAGAAGCAAAATCCTCTGTGCAAAATCAGACATGCAACATAAAATTTGGTGTCCTGTCTGAGCATAAAAACTTTTTGGGTCTCAGAGTTTATCTGCACTGTAGAATTAATGCAGTTTGTTGTCAGTTTAACTGTGGTGGCTCAATGCTATGGAATCCTAGAATTTGTAGTTTTACAAGGTCTAGCTTTCACTGGCAAAGAGAAACTACAGCTACAACTCCAGGACTTCATAGCATGGAGCCATGGCATTCAAAGTGGTGTCAAACTGCTTTAACTCTATAGTGTAGATGCATCCCACAAGTTGCAAGGATATATTAGAAAATGGGAAGGTGGTGTTAACTCTTTGGAAAAGGCTAAAGGAAAATGACTGGCAGTATTCAAGGATTTCTGTGCTCTGAAACATAGCTCCTAAGATCCTGTTCCACGGTCTCTGCTCTTGCAGCTCTGCCTCAATAGCTCAAATGTCCGCCTCTTTCTTGCCTCCTGCTGTTGCAATTTTATCTAAAATTTCAGTCTCTAAACGGAGCCTCCATGATGATGGCTTCTTTCTCCCTCCTAAATGACAGATGTGAGCACGTCATTTAGTCAAACCAAGATGTGTGTTTAATCCCAAGGTATTAGAGACATT